GGCTGTGCGACGTGTTCACAGGACATAAATGCCTTGTGGGGGTATTTCACTGAATATTTCATGCTGCGTTCTCACATCAGCTCACAATGATCACCGTTGATCACAACTTCACGCAGAAGGCTGGCAGAAAAGATTCTGGGCAAAGTCGGGAGTGAAAAACTCGGCTGTTTGTGTTCACACATGCCGCTCATCCAGAAAGCTTCGGGGAAGTTTTCAAGAGTTTGGTGTATGTGTGAAAGTGTCAGTGCTGCTTCAAAAAACAACATCTTTTTATCTTCATACTTTGGATGCTGGGGATGGATTCACAGGATGACTGCAGGTTCAAGTCAGTATAGAAAATGATCCAATGCAACACCAAAGGCTCTGTATCAGAAAAGACAAGGTACACAGATAGATTTCAGTCATTAAAGATTAAACTGCTGAAGTGGGATCAAGGTGATATGCCTTTCAGCAAAAACCTTCAATGAACCTGCAACAAATCCTTGATCTTTTTTGAGAATACTTTTCACATGCTGATACTAAAGAGACAACTTCTCTCTGCACTTTGCATGGGGTTTAAACTAGCACAAGTCTAAATCCAGAGCTTCCCTCAGAGACACATAAACCATCTGAGTATCACAAACAATACGGCTTTTGATAGAGGAGGAGAGACGCCGTGAGGGCTCACACTAAAAGCCTGGATGCAGCACAGTCAACAGAGGCTCATATAACTTTACAGTAGGCCTCCTTTCTATATCCACAAGGTGAAAGTCTCAACAAGAGGAGCAGAGAGGAGGAGGAAGGGGGGGAGGAGAGGGCTCTATGTAAACAGAGGTGGAAGCTGCACTCTGAAGGGGTCCTTATACAAAAGGCCGCTTGATGTGGAGGAAATAAAAGCCGACTTCTTCTTCTTCACTTTTTGTCCCTGACATTGTACAGAGGATATCAGAGTTTCTGCATTTCACAATAAGAATTAAAAAGACTGAGTTAGTAAAAAATCAAACATCCATCTGCAAAAGCGGGAGATGTTACCATGTGGTAAAAAAAACCACAATAAACACAACAACTAACACACATAAGGTCATTGTTCCAAACTGAAGCAGTTAAAGAAAAGTGAAACTGCTTTGATTTTTTTCTTTTTTTGGGTGCTTCTACCACAGGTCGACGTTTTGTTTATGTAGTACAGTCAAATACGATCTAGTGTCAAACCTAAGCATTTTATTCTGAAAATTCACCCGTTTTAATGTTGTTCCGGTTTGTGACTTCCTGTTCCCGCTTTGGTCTGCTCTGTGTCAAAATTGATGCGCCCTGATCCGGCATCAGGAAAAAGTAGAAGCCTTGCATATCTGCTGTTTTTTTTTTTACCCAACTCTTCAATGCTGTTGTTTGAACTTTCGAACAATATCATGAATTGTTTTCCTGTTTAGTTTAGAATAAAAATGCTAAATTTAAATAGAATTTCTCACAAGATCAAGGTGTCAAATAATGAGAAAAAACCTCGATATTAAAACGCGTTAGGATATTATACATATGAATGAAAGATAAGGCAAAACAGAGAGGCAGAACATCAACATCAAAAGTGACCAAATATTGTCTTGACTACAAAATATATTCTGATGCAGATGAAAACGTGTGGCATCTATTAGAAAAGTGGACTAGATTAGAAGTGGGTCAGAAGTGTTTATAGTTGTTCTGAATGGCCGCACTGGGAGGTGGAGGAGGGGAAAACGGTCATCAAAGAGAGGAGGATGAGGTTGGGAGGGGTCACTCTTACTGAAAACAATGTTTTTTTCTTTAGAGATCAACCAACTAACCTGCTTAATCATTGAACACTCGTTTAAAATATATATATATAAGGTCCGGACTAGACAAGTAGGATTGGTGCACCCCTTATGGCGCCTTGTGTTGTGTTGCAACCCACTCTGACCTTTATGTGTTCTGTTGAATTATACATGTTTAAACTGCTGGGCTGGGGGTTGGGGGTTGGGGGTTGGGGTCTTCTGTTGTAGCTGTTCCTCTTCTTTTTTTTTTTACTGTCTCTCCTAATCAATAAATGTCCACAAGTTCACCAGCCCAAAGCCCACTCTGACAGTGTCTTCTTTAACACTGGTGTAGTCCCCTATTCACTCCCCCGCACACTCATTACAGCTCTTCAGCTCTTTGCAGTTTAATGAAAGACCCTTAAACATGCGAGCTAAGCCCCCTGTCCTCAATATTATGTGGGTCATGCCCCATAGATTAGAAATCTTGGAGCAGCAACAGAGAAAAAGCAGGAGAGTTTACTGACATGGCCATCATAGTGCAGAGGAGAGTAATGCCTCTAATGGAGGGATGCATGCGCATGTTAATCTGTTATCAGACAAAGAAGCTTTATAATCAATGGTTGACGATGCATAATTGATGCTGGCTGCTCTGCAAAGGTTTCAGGGACAGAGATCTTTGGAAAACAAAAGAGGGTTTGAGTTTAACAGTCACCTGCTGTGAACAGAGTTAAATATTTAGCATCTTAAATAGTGTATGTATGTGTTACCACTAAGTCAAATGGAAAAAGGAGTGTGGGGGGGTTTCTCAGTCTAAAGGGAACAAAACGGCTTTTATCAACTCCATCACATAAATGACTTGTTTCATGAATCCTGACTACTGAACTTTATAGGAGAAATACTGATAATTCAAGGTTCAACATTCATGAATACACTATTCAATACTTATTATTTTTTATTATAAAAATAAAGCAAGTGAAGAACTGTGACCAGGATTGTAAAATCATAATAATATTAACTGTTTGAATTATCACACTTTTATGGCACTTATCAGTAAATAGAGTTTATTTGCTCATAATTATAATACATTTATAAAACCTTAATAAATGGCCAACAGGGTGACCCCATGCACAGCCAACCTACATTCCCAGGTGTGGTCTGTTGCAGGAACCTAAAGTAAATATATATAAATAATTAATGTTGAATAATGCTACAGTATAAAGACAACGTTCACTCTCATGCACTACATACACATTATGTGTACTATCATTCAATAAAATGAATAAATAAATACATAAATATATAACAAATGTCCACATTATTTTACACTTTAATCTGAGTGTTACTGATGTTACACACAGAGCTGCATCGTCATTTTAGTTCTGGCCGTCACTGCCTTGTGGGATGTTTATGCCATGGTGTCCATTGCTTACATACTTTAATATCTCTCAAAACAAATCTTTAAACAACAGATCTTTCAACTTTACTGACAGGCAGTAACTACAGTATAGGAAGTGGATCCCCTCCAAACAGCTGTGACACACAAAGCCTAAAAGACATCTAAATGCACAGAAGAAATCATGTGAAGAGGGTTCAGGATAGCCTAGAGGTTATGTAGCGGGGCCCATGTACAGAGGCTACAGTCCTTGCAGAACCCCCCCAACATGTCCTGTCTCTCTTCAGCTGTCCTATCTAGTAAAGGCAAAAGGCCCAAAGCTATGACAAACAAAATAAGAAAAAGAAATCATAAGACACATTTGTCATGAATAAAAGACAGCTGATGTGTTGTTGAAACAGGCAGAATGTGCAACTCAACTGAAGTCATATCAATGTAGTTACAGTGCGCTGATAAACATCCTGAGATTCATCAGAACTGTAACGCAACCTCTGGAGGATAAAAAGTGAATGAAAGACATTGACAGAGAGTGAAAATATGAACTGAATACATGACCCAAGTAAGGAGTGTGGTTTTTGGATTCTCTCCACTGCACATTGGATGATTTGGTTGGAGTACCCTCTCCTGTACTTCAAAGATGACCTTTTATGCGCTTCAACCTACAAATGTACCATATATGGTGGGAATCCGAATTACAAAGTGCAATTTTGACATGCAGAAGGCGTTTACTTAATACAACAATAATAAACGCCTCCATGTCCACACAGCTTGAGCTGATCTGAATGTTTTTTTGTTTTTTTTTTTAAACCAGTGCTTCTGTCATGGGGATTCCTTGCTGTGAGGGATGGTGTGTGGGTTAAAAATAGGTCCAAAATGTCAATACAGGCACTGTAAAGCTGAGGGGGAATATAGGCTACCCGGGCAGCAACAGGGATTAATATCTCTCCCCCCCACACACACACACACACACAAATGATAGTGACCTGCAGACCTTGTATGGAATTAATCAATGAGGGATTTTGAAAATCTAACCCATAGTCACGAATAAGAAAAGCGTCTTCTTCAAAAGCGTTCACACCACGTGACCATGATGACGATATTTAATCACGACACAAGTCAATCGGTTGTGTGCAGACAAACTCCATGGGATAGTCACGCTACATGGGGCAAAGTCATCTTATGTCGTCCCTGGAAACTACGGGCCAGTGCGCAGGCCCGGCTGCTGGGACTCCGCTGCAGCATCACGCCTCCTCCACCGAGCAGTGCGGTACACTTACGATCCACAATTAATAAGACTCCAAAGATTTAACCACGGGGATTTTTTTTTTATAACACCTTCATTCCCTAAAAAGCTCTATGGGACACCTTATGAGCGAATTGGACACTTCGGCTAAAGCTAAAGACCTGTTTTCTAGCTTTCAATGCATGCACTGTCTCTATTTGAACAGGTGTAACAGTCCAACTATGCACACAACAGATACCGAATAAGGAGGAGAGAGCAATGTGTGTGTGTGTGTGAACAAAATATGTAGCGATAACATTTGCATAGGCCACATCAAAGTGCATTTAATTGGGGAAACAGTTGAGACGAACACCCCTGCAAAACCACCAACTTATACGAGCGAAGACTCGTCAAAAGATGTAGGCTACCAAAATTCAAAATCAAAAAAGGGTGTGCAAATGAATGCCATCACTCATATGATCTCTAAACAAACCAGGATATTATCTTGAATAGCTCTGCTTCCTACATCCCAACATGTTGGCTACATGTCGCTGAGCAGCCGGCTCCAGCAGACGGACATGAATCATCCTCCTCGGTGCAGTTTTTTTAATTTATTTTTTAGGGTTGTTTTTTTTTAATTTACCTTCAGATTGAGCACTGCGGTGTCTCCCTCAGCACACAGGCTGGCGGATAGAGCACATCACCCGGTCAGGTCAACCAGGATGTAGCGCTGGTAGTCTGCGGCTCGTCGGCTGTCCCCGGCTTCTCCTCCACGGTGTCTCTGCTGTCCGCTTGGAAATTGACACATTTTACTTCACTGCAGCAGCAGCAGCAGCAGCACATGCTCAGTCACACTCACGCACCTCTTGCATCTTTGGTTAACCATTTGTGTGCCGTACCTTAGTCTGCAGTTCTTTAAACAGAAAGAACCAAAGTGAAGACTGTAAATAGGTGTAACCGGAATCAGCAATGGGGGAAAAAGAAAAAGAAAACCTTAAATAAAGCGCTGTTAATCATAATGACATCTTAACAAACTACCTGCTTTGATATGACCCTAAAGAGTTGGTTTTAGTTTGTCGTAAAGTCAGAAAAACAGGCTAGTTCTGTCCAAAAGTTTCACTTTACCGAATGTGAAAGGCTCGCTTCTTGATATTATATCTCCATTTATTTGAAAGGGATTGAAACAAAGTTTAAAAATATTGTTTTTTGTTAAATTACCTTTTTGCTGTGGAAGCCCATTTCCGCCAGTAAAAAAATGAAAATGAAAATAATAAAGTCTCATAATTTCAATTATTATGACTTTATATCTCATAATTTCGACTTTATTATTTTCATTTTATTTTTTTTAACTGACGGAAATGGGTTTCCATACTATTCACAAAGTCAAAATGACTTTTTTCAAAATGACTTTTTTTTTTTTAAATGACTTTTCACAAAGTCAAAATTACTTTTTTCCAAAATGACTTTTTGAAAATGACTTTTTGTTGAATATGGGCCGTTAAAGTTCAAAGCTAGTCATCTCTGAGTTCAATTTAAAGAGAAAGTTATTTCAAACAACTCTTAAGTACACATACATGTTCATGATAGAAATATATTAATTCAAAGACAAGAACTACAAAATTGAGCATAAAACAGAAAAAGATGTTTGAGCAAGACTACAATCCTGTAGCCTAGCGTACAAGATGGTGACGTAGCTATGGTGAGCCTTGGCTAAAGCTAAGCTTACTTAGCCATTTAACCTTAGATTTTATCATTTAAATGCGAATTATTTTTAAGTTATTGATATTTAAGAGTTGTTTCCACTTTAGTTAGTTGCTTAAATTAAGTCACAGTAAATAAAACAACCAAAATAAACCTATTGAATGTAGCCTAGGTGAGTAGCAGCTGCTAACCCAGCTAGCGTAGTGCTGCACGACATGGGGGGAATTACAATGCAAAAGGCCTGTTCTTTTCTTTCTGCGATATTTCCACCAGAACAAAACAGAACATCAAACCAGATGGATGCAGTTTGTTATTCTTGTTTATTACTCAGTTTTTATGACTTTCTGTTGTTCTTCAGGTTTTATTGCAACGTCTCCCTTTAAGCCAAAATGTATCCAAAAAGCACCTTTAATAGGCTACCATTAAATTGGTATTTAATGTTAAAGTGGTGGAAATAGCCCAAATGTCCCAACGGGAGTTTACATTTAAGTTTGCCTGGTTGTAAGATGGGAGGTGAATTGTGACCTTATTCTCATACTTTACTGCAGTATTTTTGTTGGGTTTCACCGAGTGTGTGTTATATTTGATACTGCATCGTCTCCAGACTTCTGTTTTCTCCTTATTCCTGTTTTCTCATGTTGTTAAACTCTCTAAAAGACTTAGCAATTTTCATGTTGTTTGCCCACACTGTTAAACCTCAATAAACGTGATGGGTCCCGCTGCTCTTCCAGGACAATGAATACTTTAGGAGTTTGAGTTAGGTGTGCATTCTAACCAGTGCCAAAAGAGATAGTGCACCTGCGCAAGGAAATTAGCCGTCTTTGTGTGTCTGCGGTTGAAAGAACCAGGTGTTGTTAGGCGTGTCACAGCCTGAATGCCAAATATCATGAAGAGTGTCATCGTCAATTACTTGGTACTAATTAAAGATTGGTGGTTGGCATGGCTGGTATAATCAGTAAAAAATAAGTATCAAGGTATATATTATTTCATCAACTCGGTTTCAAACTAATAAGACTTCCCATTAGTTAGGTTGGAGACAGTCTTTCCCATTTTAACAGCTTATCTTCACCCTTTCGCTTTTGTATAAGGTTCTTTACTGCTGAAGAACTAGCATAATGAATTCATTCCATGGTGGGTTTCCAATAATAATGGAATGGAAATTCTGATAAGACTACCGACAGGCCCATTCAAACCTGATGATATATGATAATGTTCTTCAGGATGTAGAGCTGAAACTGAAGTATCGCCTCTGCGTACTGTGTCCAGTCTTTCTAAGTGGTCTTCAAAGGAAACTGCCCGTATCAACAAGGCAGGATGGTCGCTCGGTGATTTAAAGAGCATTTTAATAATGTTATCTGAGCACTCACCAACCAGATATTTTTTCAATTGGACATTAATGGGAGATACTAAAATACCTTACAGATGCCGTTTTCCAGGGAGCATCCTTAAGACAGGAGGGATGCTCGCTCAGAACCATTACAGCAGCAATCAGCATCGACCTCGTCCTACAGATAAGTGGACTGAAACAGAAAAGAACAGCCCTAGACTATAGATCTATGATAAGTAGCCGCTGTACGAACAGATACTATTTATATTTTGTTCTGTCAGAGCATAAACAATCCCAGGAAGAGAAGAGGAGCGGAAGAACACAATGACCCTGAAGACCCTCAGTAAGAAAACACTGGAGTACATCACAACTAAGCCGTAGTTGTAGACAAAGCCTTGGCTATGATCTCGGAAAGACATTTAAGGCATTCCGATTGTAGTCCACAGATTCTTTGCACACAATATGGTAGATTACATCAAAAGAAAACAAAGACAAAACAAGATTCACAGCTGTAAAATCAGCCAGTGTTTGTTTTTCGTTAGGTGCAATCGTGTTTCGTTAAGTAATTGGAGTTGCTGTACTTCTCTCGTATTTCTCAGTTTTCACAGGCCAAGTCTCAGAACCCTTTGGCAATCATTGTCTATTGCGAAGGCTAGACTTGCTTTCTACATTTCCCTTGTGCTTCAATTCAATTTCTAAATGTTCTTGTCTTTCCCAAAAGTCTAGACTGGCTATGGATATCTCACAGAGTGCGGGACTCAGGCAAGCAAGCAAAAAGTTCTGAGGCACGACTGTCAAAACCCTGCTTAAGATGAAGATGGATGTGTTTTTTTTTTTTCACCTGAAAGCAACCCTAGAAAAAAAAAACTCTTTAAAGTGCCTCATCTTGTCAAGTAACATAAAGAGCAGTGTGTCATGTTTCTCGTACGCAGGGCATCCAAGTGGGCAATGCAGTCCCCCCCCATTGAAAGGGCACCCCATCATGCATAAAGGGCACCTTAGATGACATATCACATCTTTGCATATGCATTTTTTTTTTTTTTTTTTACTGAGAGGGCATCTTAAAGAACTGCATCAAGTTTTTCTATTCTAAGGGCACATTCAATCTTCAGCACTGCAAGGGCACACAATCATAATTTTCACTGTACGGGCACCCCAAACTCATTCTCTCCACTGGAAGGGCACCCAAGTGGGCACTGCATTAAGTCCCCCCCTCCCCACTACTAGAATGGCACTGCATTATGGATGAAGGGCACCGTGGAGGCCACTGAGTGACATTATCTTCACTGAAAGGGCAACTAACACTGCAGCAAGTACTCTTCAGGACTGCACCACACTGTGTCCACTGGAAGGGCAATGCATCGTGAAGCATGCAGGACACTCCACTGAAAGGAACTCTAGAGGGCACTCCTGTCTGTGTTTTCTCCTCTGAGAAGGCACAAGAGTGGGCACTGCATCATGTTTTCTGAACTGGAAGGGCACCCCAGAGGGAACTGCATCATTTTTGTTGTCCAGGGAAGAGGGACAGAAATAGTGCAACTCGCAGATGTGGTGGAATTGAAAATGCACATCAGAGATCAGCAAGTGGATAAATCTACAGCGAGATGCCGTTATGTCAACATGGAGAGAAATTCACGAGGGATGATTCCGGCGCCACTTTGAATGGATGCTATGAGAGAATAAGGTAGTTATGAGGGCAAAAAGGGGTCCAAACCCAGTTGTAGCTAGGTGTACATTGATTTTGGTTAACCAGTTTTCTCAAGCAGAGGCCTGTTTTAAAAAGGTGCGTATTGTATTGGTTAACATAAACAGTTTTTTCAGTCAAGACTGTATAGAAACAGATCTAATTTGATGGTTGTATTATATTGTAGAAGCAGTTTATATTAGTCCTAGAAGATATGCCTCTGCTTCCACTCTTTAAGCCCGAGACTCAGTTTGATACTCTGCGCTTAGATTCTTACCTGCTCACCCCTAAACACTCATTCTGTATATATAAGTTGGTTAGTGTTCTCTGGCACAGAGGCGTGATAAACACATGCATCTTTTCATCTATACATCCCTTATTGGATATTAGGTAACATCTCTTTACTGACTGTCTACTGCTTCAAGTCCTGCAGGTTTACTCAGAACTTTGTTCCAAAGAATTTTGGAATAATTGACAACACACACTCAGATTGACACTCTTGTTTCTCTTGGACGAATGAAGACAATGATCTCAAAACACTTCCCCACAGTGTGCGATTGTTTTTTTTTTACTAAGAATCATCCTTTTCTTGTCGTTTCATTTATGCTTTTTCGTTTCTTGACATCATTGTACATCAGGGAAACCGCAATGACTTCAGGGCTTAAAAGTTTGAACTGTTGAGCTAACTATTTCAATCTTTATAGAAAATACAAAAGGATTGTCAGTGGATGTGTTAGATACCCTTATACGACCAAATGAAACCATCAAGACTGATGTTCACAGCCGTTATTTGCCTCAGAAGTTGTATGCACCGTGACACACAAAATAAACACATTGACAAAATGTTTATGAAAGCAGAACACAGTCCTGCTTCTAGGTTGTTATTCTTAACCTTCGCTTACAAAACATGGCGATGTTTGAGCATTTCAATGTTCTAATAATGGTCACTTTTAGGGAACAAAACAGAAAACAATTTGGAATCATCTGGGTTTTTTCTTTTTTGCATATCATCAGTTTGCATACCTGTGTGAGTTTGGACACGTCTGTGCACAGACACCGAAAGAAGAGGGAAAATCAATTATCTTTTTTAATTACATTATCTAAGCATAGATGCATTACTTGTGAAAAAGGTAGAAAAAACAGCAAGTCTTTCTCAATAAGTTAAACCTCTCTGGCCCAAGAGAAGGCCGGCTCACAAAACAGAAGATTTCCCATAAAGCATTCAAATTCATTGAAACAAAAGACAAGGAGTGAACTCAGGTCGCTGAAATCAAAGTGCGTCTCCTCGTTGAATTTAACTTTTTTTTTTTTTAACAAACATTAAACAAACATAGAAGATGCGAGTGGCTTATGTTACAGTCCTTCTTACCCTTTTCCACAGGGCTCTGCAAGCATTATTCATGAAACTTCACAAGTTCCATCGTTTGATTGACAAACAATAAGCTGAGTTATAGTTGGTAAAAAAAAAAAAAAAAAAAAAAAAAAAAAATCAGAATAACAATAATTACAATGACAGTTATAACGAGAAAATGTAAGTAATAAACACAGTCCTGTACAGTCAGGCTCCTCTTCTGATTGACCGCAGCCAAACTGATCGATTATCGATTGGTCTTCAGCAGTGTGACAGACCCGTACTGACTGAAGAAAGGTGGCCACGCCGTCGTCTCCTTTTAGATTCAACATCCCTCAGCTGCACTCGGCTATAGTTCACTGGAAAAACGCCCTTCCATTTCATGTTCCCATCTGCTGTCAACAAACACACACACAGGACAGTGGATCATGAGCAGTTTGTTCCTGTCAAAGAACGGGTTTATTTTTATCTTTCACTCACCTGTTTAATCGACAATAAGATTAAAGAACAACTCCTTCTATTCACCTTAGTACACACAACCACACATACAAATCACAGCAAACACGCAACAGATTTCTTCCTTAAAGGCAGGGTTGGTCATTTTCAAAAACTAGCTTGATTTTGAAAGTAGTATTCCCTCAATGCTCTGTCTACACCTTAATGCATAAATAATAGTGAACCAGTCAGCATGACATCATTCTTACAGTTCCTCAGTTTTAACATGACCTGCACCAGAACTGTCCCTTAGACCAGCACGGTTGACCTAAACTCTCACTGTGCCCTGATTTAAGCAAACATGTTAGAAACATGGGGTACTGCTGACAGCCAGCTTCAGACCAAGAGTGAAAGAGTCCCTCATTATATCATTAAAAAAGAAACACAACAAAGATCCGCCTCTGAGCAGAGTGCCTCACCTCACTTGGGTGTGAAGTAAAGGTCGTTCCCACAGAGCGATCAGTCCAGTTCATGAACCTCGTCCTGCAGAGAGACTGAGGGCCGCGCGGAATCGCTCATCCGTTTGGCCATGATGTCCCACTGTGGAGTCAGGCCTTTGGATTTAGAGCCTGCAGAGGAAGAAGAGGACAAAAGAGGATGGTCACATACTCATCATCAGTCCACTGATATGAATGTAGGTAAAAAGGGATGTCTTCTGCCCCCTGGTGGCACCATACAGTACTGAATAAGCCTCGTTAATCTGGTTCTGCCTTATTCTTTAACTACTCCAACTTCACCCATCAATTCTGACAACTATTTTTCAACAGCACAGCTGATAACAGGTTTCATGTTTCACTTATTTTTACATGTTTCCATCAGAGCTAAGATATGTAAAAAGCACCCCAAGGTCTACAGCCTCTTCTACTTTTCTTTTTAATCATACATTTAATTTTCACAGTCGTGATTTTTTTGTGCAAAACCCAAGTTAAATACGAGACATTTCTATTCATATTCATCATTTTCTCGTCGATCTGACTCAGACAGGTCCATCATTTTTATGTTGGGCATTCAGCCACAAAGCTTGTTGAGCAACACACACATTCACAATATTTCCTCAATATTTTACATATTCAGTCCAAGAGTGCCTGCATTAATAGCAGCAAGCGTTTTGCTACATCTATTGGGCCTGTCACTGCAAATCACAAAGACAGCTTCATAAAATACTACGACTATAGGCAAGCATGCCACACAAAATGCCAATTTGCAAAGCTTTCTCCCTGTTTTGAGTCTGAATGTTAGGCTAATATCCTCTGATTGACTCCAAACCTGAAGCAGACATGGCAGTGATATTCACCTTCACTCAGCAACAAAACAATTCACTAAATGTTGAACTTTGCCTTTAACATTCAGATTCTCTTTGAGAGAAATAATTTGAAATCAGTCACAGTTGATGCTTTATTCTTTTGCAGTAAAAATAAAAGCTACAAAGTCTAAATTGTGGATGTGCCAATCACACAAAATCTACCTTTTACTGCTTAAAAGTGACCATGAGGAACTGCAGAATGACCCCGCCTCCTGTTTTTCTTCTTCTGTGGTTATTTCTATATATTCCCTCTTCCCCGCACAATGTTGTCATGTCCGTCACAACCTGTCAATACTTTGATTTTTGAACTGCTGTGCAAAAACCAACGCTGTGTATAGTTTATTTTACTTATGTAGCAGATGCTGTTTCACTGCGTGTTTATCAGAAGAAATGGCGGTCAACAATAAAGAGAATCCTGGTGTCACAGCATCATTCTTCCTTCACCAACACAACGCAGAAGATCCCCGGTTACACAGGCAGCACAGACAAGAAATCAAAACTCAAACAATTCAGTATCGGACTAAATGTGAAATATGGTCACAATCCCCCTAAAGTATGTTGTGAAATAATGGCTACATGAGTGTTTCTGCACAGCACTGTTATGCCACAATGAACTTGACCTTTGTCGCTTTCTGATATAGAATTCCATCTTTTTAACGAGTGAATAATTGGTGGTAAATAAAGTTATCCCATAAACTAGATTCTGGCTGCTCTCCAGCAGTTCCTCCCCGTGTTTTATCCCAGCCCGGGCCTGCGGTGGGCTCACAGACCGCTGAAGATGCTCTCCCTCAGGATACACTTACCAAGCCCTCCTCCTCCTCCTCTTCCTATCCGCTGTTACCATGACAACATAGACTGTAGCCTCCAGCTAAAGCAGCGAGGCTGATCCGATTCCTCTTGCAGTCTCTCCTCTCTCTCTCTCTCTCTCTCTCTCTCTCTCTCTCTGTCTTTCTCTGGTGTACTCGCACTCTTCTTGATCTCTCAGTCTGTCTCTTCCCCTCTCTCATTTCACAGGGGAGCGGGGAAAGTGGGACGTAACCCAAAAAAATAAAGAGCCCCAACAAACTCTTAACCCTGCGGCAGCTGAAGCCGTCGAGTGAGTCCAAGAGCGTCCACGTTTACGTGTACTGCAATGCATTTTGGTTTGTGTTAATTAAAGTTGTCAAAATTAGGGTTCCAAGATGGAAAGAAATGCTGCAAATACACATTGAAATTAAACATAATTCTCCTCCTATTCCTCCATTTACAGTACATGATAATCTGCCTTTAGAGACAAAAGTGCACAAAAACCAAAAAGAAGAAAACTTGCAGCTGCAGCCATTTCCAAGTATTTTCCTTCAATACAATCAAATCCTCATTAAAGGTTCATATGAAATTTACATGTTGAATTACATTAATTTTTCACAAAAACAGCTTATAGTGATATTAATTGTGTGCTAATGTTCTAAAACAGCTTGCTGTGGAAACTAAGATTAAAGTGAGAGCAGCGCGATAAACACGGGGAAAAAAAGTAATCACGATTCAACGTCTGACTTCAGAGTTGGTGTAATACTTTCGAGCTGAAAAATCGAAACCCAAAAACACACACACACACATGCTACACACTCGCCGCCTCACACTCACCATCCAGTCCATTGTGCTGCTCATAGGATCGTTTGCCCAGGATGGTGGGGGAGCCGTTGTTTAGGATGGGGGTGGACTTTATGGGCGTCAGGCTGCCTGTAGAGATGGACGCTCCACGGGGAGGAGGGTCGGGTTTGGCTGGACGGGGATGTGCTTCTGTGGGTGAAAGAGAGGACAGAAATGAGGTGAGGAAAAACAGGCAACTCAACGAGAGGAGGGAGGGTTGGAAACCAAGAAGGAGAAAAAAGAGAGGGGATTAAAAGCTCTTAATTTTAGATAAGCAGAAAGGACGAGCAATGGCAGGACAAGAAGGAATTAAGATATCATAACGGACAGAGCATTCTCAAAGTCTTAAATTCAGACAATATTTAAAACACATGTTGATGATAAACTAAGAGTTTGTAATAATTTTAAGGTGCCAAGAATTACTCTCAAAGACTCAAAATGTGTACTGTATCAGGGATGTGGTTTTGTGACCGGCTTCTTCTTACCTAAATACCGAACCACAGACTCCAGAGGTTTGCGTTCCACAGGTTTCAGGGGCACAGGTTTTTTTGGCCCATCTGGCAACCGGAGGGCACCTGTAGAAATGATAAGAGAATATAACTTAACGTACATACCAGTAGGTTCCCAAAAGCACAATAATAACACAATGAATATCATCTTTTTTTAAGTATTGGCATCAAGTGCATTCAGTGTGATATGGAGGTTCCTACATTCTGCCTTTATGGCTGCTGTGTTCACAGGGAGGTAGGGGTGCCTGGCCAGGTATCGCGGCCTGATGACGTCCTGGCAGATGCGACGTGCCATCCGCGTCAGGACGGTGGTCTGCAGGTAGAAAGCCTGTCGCGTCTTCACCGCAAACTTTGGGCTGCCGCTGTGCCTCAGGGGCAGGCCGTGGGGGCTCTGGAGGGAGACAAAAAAAAAAAAAAAGAAATCTGTGTTTGTGACAGTTTACACTCCACAGAAATTGCTTGGCAGTTCTAGCTGATGGCACAACACCCATGAAGGTGATTTTTGCAGGTTGCCTGTATCTGCAGCTGGAGAGAAGAAGGATGAAGGTTAGGTCGAGATGGAGGTTATTGGAAAGCTATGGCCAGTGCTCTGCTGGTGGGGTGTGTGTCGCGCGTGTGTGCGTGTCTGTGTGAGCTTGTACCATGTTGCGGTTGGGTCCAGGCCTCTCTCCGTCCAGTCTTGTTGGCATCTTCAGCCCTCCGTACTTTTTCCAGTAGGTCCAGCATGATGCACAGAGACGACACTGCATGTTGGGGGGTCCCCACGAGTACCACTGGTAGGAGCTGCTGGCTACACACACACATAAACACACACACAATCACAAAAGCAAACACAAAGGAAAGCAAGTTCAGTATGATAAAGCACAACTCACTGACTTATATAAAACAGGCCTGAGTTCAGTGAAAATCCATTTGAAATCATGAACATTAGCTCAAGTGCATGTGAGCAAGAGTCCAACCTTTAATCATTCATCACTCAATTAACTACAAACACTAAAATAACTGCAGTCATACTCTGCTGCAGGGCTCCACATCCCGCTCTCTCTAATGTGTGTCACATACACAGCGTACACTGTCTGCGGTCTTTAAATAACACCTGTTTAAAAGGAGGATGTTATATGTTACAGAATGCATGGGTTTAAAATAGTGGTCTATTAATATGGGGTGGTAATGCAGAACACTTAACTGAGATGAAAAATAGAATGGTTTCAGTGGAAAAAACACACTTCCAGGTTGTATTTAATCCCAAAACTGAGGTGGTTATACTCTTGTGTTTACTTCAGATGTAAACAAGCCTCAAGAGCACCACATGATCACATTGATAACTTAAAGACCGGAGAGTACGCATCTTTTTCAATTATTTTTACTCTATCGTGCACACTAAACCAACACATCAAGAATCAAACACAACTTACCCTAATATTTTCCACAGTGGAGATGAGGATTTCATATTTCAGTGTTTTCTTTATTTAACAGGAGAAAGTTTGGTTTGGAGTAGATTTGACATTATGTTCTAAAAAAAAAAAAAAGAAGCTTGTCGATCGATGCATTTCTATGAATTTTTTCCCCCAGTACTTTTTGTCTCGTGAACTTGAAAGTCCACTAAACAGCCGTAACATTACGATCACTGACAGGTGGCACCAGTCGGTGGGTGGGATTGGTTAGGAAACAAGTAAACACTCTGTCCTTTAAATTGATGTGTTGGAACAGGAAAAAAAATGGGCAAGGGTAGAGATGTGAGCAACTTTGATAAGGGCTTAAGTGTGATGGCCTTGACGACAGGGTTAGAGCATCTCAAAAACTGCAGCTCTTGTAAGGTGACTCTGGTCTGTAGTGGGCTGTATATTACTCGTGTGTCATGCTATCTCATCATTGATAAGAAGAGGAAGAGTTTCTGGAGATTAAAACGATAAAAAAAAGGTTCACGTTGGTTCTGATAGAAAGGAGTCAGAGTGCACACTGCTCGACAGGTCAGGGCTGTTTCAACAGCAAAAGGGGGACCCACATAATATGAGGCAGGGGGTCATATAGTTAAAGCTGATCTGTGTTTATTAAACAAGCAGCAGCCTTTTTTTATTATGGGATAGCAACTGTAAATACTGAAGCTATAATCCTTGTTGTCATATTAACCAGGCTAATCCGTTCAGATTTTTATATGTAAAGAAGCAAAGACACAAATGATGAAGTCTTACTGTAGCAGCTCTCGCAGGCTCTACCCAGGCCGGGGATCTGCCCTGAGCCTGGAACGCCTGGGACTCCTGGGACTCCTGGTACTCCTGGAACTCCTGGACTCCTGGTACTCCTGGTACTCCTTGGACTACTGGTACTCCTTGGACTACTGGTACTCCTTGGACTCCCGGTACTCCTGGAATTCCTGGTACCCCTTGGACCCCTTGGACTCCTGGTACCCCTTGGATCCCTTGGACCCCTTGGACTCCTGGGACCACTGCACCCCCTGCTCCATTCACCAGAGCTGGTTTTACATTGTTACTGAGCTGGTTAGGGTTTGGCTTGTTACTGTGGAGGGACACAGAAACAGAGGAGGAGGGGGTCAGAGCAGCAAATTAAAAAATAATAATAAACAGGCCAAAGAGAAAAGACAACCTTACTCAGTGTGCTGCACGAGCCAGCAGTTACACAGACACTGAACTGAGAGCTGTCATGACAAAGAATGAGGGGGATTGTGTTTTAATGAAAGCAGCAGATGTCCAACTTGAAAACTCCAGAGATATCTCAAGTCTATTCTGATGAAAAGGGGAGCTGCACAAACGATCTCTGGTGAGTTTATTCTGATCCAATGTTTCACACAGAAAGTAGGGAGGTACTCACTAGTTAGGGATGTAGACCTGCTTCAACTTGCTCTCTGCCTCGGCTGCTTTTAATCGTTTCTGGAGCAGAGACAGAGGAAAAGGAAGAGGGGCGTGATTAGAGAGGTGAGCTCCAACGACAACATTTAGAAATAAAAAGTATTAAAAGGACAGAGTTCAAAGCCTCGTGGGGATTTAAGAGATTTGAACAAAGTTTGAGGAATATTTCAGAGTGTCACACACATAGATAACTCCATTTATAATAAGAAAAAAATATTCCTCCCCTTTTAACTTTGAATTTGAAGCTGGCCTAATGACCGCTCAGATGCATGCAGAC